GGGGATATTTACACCACAGAAATAAGCAAATACTACAAATCAGGGCTTTTTTGGGCAGCTTATCATTGAAGTTGAATAATAGATAATAGAAGTTGGGTAATACATGGAGGTGTATTATTCTTTTATGCCTACTTTTGTATAAATTTGAAAACCTCAATAATAGTTCATTAAAAAAAAGTTCAACTGTTTTTCCAGACTTTTAAGACCGTCTGAAGTTTGGTCCCAGCTTAATTTGCAACTATTATCTCCACCATAGTCCCTCTGAACCAGGGCAATTAAACCACTCCAATCTCTAGAACACACCCAAACATCTCTACTCTTGTTCTGGTCTTCATCAAGGCTTCCTCTGCCCTGGAATAAGTTCATCACCTCATTTCCTTCTCACCTATCTTGGTCCAGGTACAATGGCACCTCCACCTGGAAGACTTCCGTGCTTGCTCCATATAGATACAATTTCTCCTTCCTGTGAATTCTTAAATAATTTAACCTGTACTTCTCTGACAAAAGAAAACATTGAATTCACTGTGCGTGGCAGGCATCATGCTAGGTTGCTTTCACAACATTGTCTCATCTGACCTTCACAAGAATCTGTCAGATAAGTTGGGCAAATTTTTTGCTTAATAAAGAAAATGAGGATTAAAGACATTAAGTAACTTTCCCAGGGTTACAAAGCTAACATTAGTGGCAGAACTTTCTAGAATTGTCAAATTCTGGAGAAGAGTCTGTGCACAGCAGGGAGCCCCACAGAAAGGTCTCCATGGGTGCCTCTGAATGAAATGGCAAGCCCATGACCAAAAGCCCTGTTTTCTCTACAATGAACAATGTTTCTCTGTGTGTCCTGATTTACTCTCTTCTTACCTTTCTCTACAACGTACCCTTGGCCATAGCAGCAATGTAGAAATTCCTCAAAAATGGCTACTTTTTATAGGACAGCCACTATTAAACATACCCCACAAAATCCTGTATGAGGCACTCTTGAAGTAAAACTTCATTATTCCTAAAGGAAGTATCCTCTTTTCCTCTGAGATAATGGGCAGTTTATAAAGGAGGTGAGGACCAAGTCCTTCAGTGGGTGCTTTCCTCTGTGTGGGGCAGGTCTTTTCAAGGTTGTTCCCAGCACTGTGGCTGGACACACAAAACCTGCATCTGAGTTTGGACTCCACAGTTATGGCTATTTCTTCCCCACATCCCCCACCCAGGCACAAACGCCCACAGGCACATATATGACGACTTTACTGCAAAGTTTAAGCAATCTTCACATCTCTGTAGGAACCAAGAAACAAAGAAGAAACAAATGCCAAGAAGCCCTGGATGCTATTTGTATCCTAGAGGAAGGCACTGGATCCAGCCTTTGCCTTGGATTGCTCCTGGCGATCTCAGCTGCAAAAGGAATGGAATGTCTAGCAAGAGGGGAGTGGTAAATAAATGACGGTACTAGCAACTGGACAAAAATAGCCAGCTGCTAGAAGATTTTCCAGTGACAGGGAAAGCATGCAAACAAACAAAAAAGAAGGTAACATAAAAGCATATAAGTATAACATCAATTTTGAAAAAATCCAATAGATGCATATGTATATGTATAACAAAGATCAAAAAACTATACCCCAATATGCCGTTTTCTATATTCTGGGGTGGAATAACAGGAGATGTTTTTTCTTACGTCTTTCTGTATTTTCCAAATTTCCTTTTTTAAAATTAATTTTTTATGGTTAACATCCATCACCAAACATAGTTACAATTTTTTCTTGTGATGAGAACTTTTAAGATCTACTCTCTTAGCAACTTTCAAATATACAACAGAGTGTCATTAATTATAGTTACCATGCTGTGCATTACGTCCCCAGGGCTTATTTATTTTGTAACTGGGACTTTGTACTTTTTGACCCTCTTCACCCATTTCACATTTCTACCATGAACATGTATAACTTTTATAATGAGGGGAAAAAAAGAATAAAAAGAAAAATGGAGAAGAAAGCATATGATTGTTGGACTTTTATGAAAGGGAAGAGATGCTTTCCCATATGTTTTTTGGGATTGGAGAGGGATGGTCTTGCAAAAGGGGATGAGGGTTCCCTAATTCCCATTATCCAAAGATAAGAAAGGAGGGGACTCAAGTGCATCTGTTCCTTCAAAAAGCAAGAAGAACAGGACATTGGAAAAAGAAAGATGTGTCTGGAGGGAAACCAAATGGAAGAGAAGAGTCCGGGTGGTTTAGGTGTGAATTTCAGAAGCTTTTCCATCTGTGGCTTTAAAATGTGCTGAGAATAGTAACCACCTGTCAGCCCCAGGCCTGACTCCAGGAGACAGTGCTACCCTGCGTGTTCCAGAAGCCAAGCTCACCAGCCTGGGAAGAAGCCCCACCGCCAACGTACAAGTCTTACAACCCTGGCATTCGCCATCAGGCTCTACCTGCAAAGTAATGTGTTTGTTTCCAGGAATGAGCATGGTGTCTTTACAAATTAATAACCATGGAGAGAAAAGCAGATAGTCACTTCCATACCCTTCTCTTCTCTATCTGGATGCAGAAAGGAGGACAGAGGCAAAGGGACAGAACAGTCCAGCTCGATATAGCTGCCACTCTCCACACAATCAAAGCTGAGAGTCACCAAAGATTAGTGAGGAAATCATGACTATTTTCCCTAAGAGGCTGCAGCAGGAACAGGCATCAAGAAAAAAAAAAAAAAAAACCCTTTTACATGCAGTGATAGGTGCGGACCAGACTGTGTGAAAGCTGGCAGGCCCTATTACAGTTCCCCCAGGAAGGGGTCCTCCACAAGTTCTCTCCTGAAAGTCAGTGACAGTTCTTGGAAGGGAACATGCCTGTGAATTATTGTGGACATCAGGATGCATGGGGCTCAGTTTCATCTGAAACCCAAAGAGAGAAGGGGAAAATAACAACAGAAGCCAACAATTTGGTGTAGCGGGCTGGGGAGCGGGGGAACCCAAAGCATGTGGGCAGTGTTCTGTTTCTGTTTGGAAAAGCACCCCAAAGGGTGGTGTTGAGTTGAGACATATCCGGGCTTTTTGATTTAGGAATAACACTGAAGAATTAACTTTGATCTGGGCATGACACTCTGGCCACAAGATTCCCAGGGCTTCCTGGCCTCAGGAACATGCATCCTGAGGAGTGAAAAATGTGCATTTATGCTTCCAGCCTCGGGAGGATGACACACAAATGGAATAATGTGGAAAGGTCAGACAGAACCAGGGGAGTGAGCCATCTGCACCAGCAACTGTGGGGCTGTCTGTGGGGGAACCTGGAAGCTGCCTTTCTAGGATCATGGCCTCGAATGTGATGGACGGACCCCAAATATATCTAAATTAATAGTTCATTTTAAATCTAGTATCAAGAAACATGGAGAAAATATGATCATCTCAGAGAGAAACAATACCAAAACACACACAAACACACACACACACGCACTCACACCCCTTCCATAAACTCAGTCTCTGCTAGGTATCCTTTTCAAGCCACAAAAGGACAACACACAAAGCCTTTTTTCCTTTCATTCTTATAAATTTTCAGATAAAAATAAACTTTAGCTAGGATGCCACTGTGTACAAACATAGGTGTGGAAATGAGTAGGATATGGGTAAATGTTGATTTTCTTTTGTTTTTAGTTTACCTGGAAGTTTGTGTGAATATGTAAATAAGCACTTTAATTAATTACCAGTTCCTAATTGTTGTTAAAAGGCTTATTGGTTAACTCTTTCTAGAACCTCACTGCATCCCTGATGGAAGGATCAACAAGCTGTGATGGAAACACCCAAAGTGGCGTATGGATTTATCCTGACTCTCACCAAGGGGGCCCTTTATTTTCCTCATTCTCTTCCTTGAGCCTCTCACTTTCCACCTCTGTTTTCATACCTAGCTCTCTGTATGATCTGGGGCTGCTTCTAATCAGGATTCTGGTCCTCAGTTTCCCCAGAAGTAAAAAGGGGCTCACAAGATGCATCCCACATAGGGGAAGCATAATGAGGGCAGGGTGAGCTCTTGGATGTGAAACATATTTAAAGAAAAAAAAATTCCCAAATACATGGAATTTTTGCTACTATAAAATTACTTGCTCCACTCCGGAAGTTCTCAGCCTTTAGCTATGACGTTTCTACCCACAAATGTATAGTATCGTGGGATCTTAAGGTACTGAGTTGGGAAGTGACAGAAAGTTTCATGTTGAAAAGGGGACAGGGGCAGGGACGGAGTCCCACAGTCCCACAAAGCCTTGGGCTTACCTCTCTTTGCATACATGCTCTTTCTACACTGGGGTCCATGGGGAACACAAGGACTTCTGTGTCTACTGTGTATTTGTGTGTACGTGTGTTGGCACTTATGTCTTTGTGTGTAGACAGTAAGTCCCTTCCAGAGACAAGGAGGGTGATTTTCCATCCTCATCAACTGCCAAGGAAGTCCCCAGAGAGCCCGTGCCTGTGCCCTCTTGTGGTTTGCCCATGCGACCTCCAAACGGCATTCTGGCCAGAGATAATAGTGGCCATTTCCTAACCAACATCAGCAAAACTAACCAACATCAGCAAAACTCAACCATCTGCCTCTGCAGGAGTCTGAGATTGACCTGGCCGCCAGACTACTGACTGCAAGGCATTTGCACACAGACTACAAAAATATGAATATCCTGTTGCAAAAAAGAGAAATACACGAAGGAGAACCCAGCTGCATCCCACCCTCCACCTCCTTGGTTTACCCCTTCTTAAGCAGAGTCACCTACAACCACACATTCCAAGTAACTTGATCTACATTTTTTTTCCACTATAAAGTAGTAAGAGAGAATAGAAAGAAGTTGTTTTGTTCGAGGTGAGATGAGAGATAGGAGTGGGAGGGAGAGGGCAAGCCATGGGGTCATTGTCAAGGTTGGCACCTCGAGTCAGAGAAGCTGGAGATCCAAGGTGGGGGTTTCTGCCCTGGTGTCACCTTTGTTTGCTCACCACCAGACTATGGAACATTTCAAACTCCCGAACTTCATGAAAGGATCAGTGGAACTTACCTGTGGCTGAAATCCTTTGAGGTCGCTGGCTGCAAGGTCACTGGCTGTGAGGAGCTGGAAAAGAACAAAGGAGTTTTCCTTAGTGATACTTCTCAAAGTTTGCATACAGCATCCCCAGGACAACTGATCTGCAATGGACTTACCGTAGCCTCGATCCAGAGCTAAAGCAGCAGCATCACAAAAGGCAAACGTGGTATTTTTGAGCTAGGAACCTAGACTGAATGGCCTTCTCACCTTGCGTCTACCACATCTCTGACTTCACTGCTTCCCTCTGCTGCCCTTTCCCACGTTCTTCCTATGTGCCGACAGTTCTTCAAAGTGCTTTAAATTAGGGATCATGGACTATGTGTGGACTTCAGCAGGTCCACAGACTCCTGAAATTGGAATTACAATTACTCACGAGTCTATAGATATACAGTCATGTGTCACTTAGCAACGGGACATGTTCTGAGAAATGCATTGTTAGTTGATTTTGTCATTGTGCAAACATAATGGCGTGTACTTACAGAAACCTACCTGGTATAGCCTACTGCACACTTAGGTTATATGGTACTAATCTTTTGGGACCACTGTCATATATGCGGTCTGTCATTGACCCAAATGTTGTTATATGGCATGTGACTGTATACATTTCCTTAGGGAGAAGGTACTCGCCTTTCTTCCTACCATCAAAGCAGTCTATGATTTTACAAGTTAAAGAGACAGTTAAAGGCCCATCTTCTGGAGGGCTGCTGCTTCTTTTTTGAATCAAAGCAGTAAAAATGACCCTTTCCTCTTTCCAGCTACATGACTCGGTTTCCCTTTACCATATGTTGCCTTTGATCTCACATACTATTTAGGTGTTCACAGCTTATGCCTGAAACTATCATGTACAATATTAGAAGATAAAAGTCAAGTTTATATATTTTCTCTGTCTTTATGCCTAATCAATATTAAAGGGTAAAGTTTTAACATTTTTGCATCCTCTCCAGAAAGCACTCGATGGAAGCATATGATTAATTAATAAAATAATCATATTCTTTATTGTTATTCAAAAATGCTGGGAAAGTGTGAAATAAAGAGCAAAAGGGCAGATGCTTATTTTGATTCAGGGAGTGTGACTGCTAGCTTTGTTAGGCCTGGAGAGAGTTTGCAAAAAATAAGGAAGATTTCATGTTTGCTGAAACAATGTTTTGTTTGGTTCAAGAAAGACAGGGAGTCAAGCTGGGCTCCAGCACCTCCAGGCTTCAGAAAAGCTCAACTGGGCTTTTTAGCTTCTCTAAATGACTTTGCCAAAAATGATGCGTAAAGCGGTGTTAAGACTGGAATAGCACAGAAAGGAGGCGGAGAACGTAAAAGCTGTACCTTTCTCCCCACACCCAGCCCTGCAGGCTGGATTCCCCACATGGAAGGTCCTGGGAAGGCTCATCATCCTGGTAGAGAGCCAGGTCAGCCCCTCCGATTGTAATGAAGCAGCTAAGTAACAACCCATTGGGGTACTTGACTAAAGACTAAGGGATAAACATAATTATAAGACTTAGTCCCTGCCTTCAAAGAACCTACAATTTGGTGGAAGGATACAACATGTGCACATCAGTGTGAGCAGAGTATAAGCATCAAACTGTACATAAGGCCAGAAAGGTCAGGGTGGGGCTGCTGAAATAAGATGGCATTGGAATGACCCTTGAAAATGGAAATGTGGCAGGGCGAGGCGCTATTGGTGGGACAGCTGGAAGAACAAAGATGGAAAAGGGATCCACTGACCCCAGCACACCCCTTTGCATCTACTCACTGCCAGCCCCAGCATATGTTAAGGAGGAAGGGAGGGCATTATGATACACTTCCTAGGGCACACAGGTGGTAGTGCATGTATTTGGGATTTAAATCCAAAACTAAATTATCCCAAAGCTCACCATCTTTATTCTATAACATAATGTCTCTGAATTATAGCACATTGGAGATAATTTGCTGGGGAGACGCAGCTTAGGGAGAAAGATGAGTGCCAGACTATGAGTCAAATGAGCCATGGGCAGTAACATAAAGCATGAGTCCCTATAAATGACCCTTGACTGACCTTTCCTTCTAGACATCCTTTTATTTAATTGATAATGACCATCCACTCTTCAGACCTTATCAGTACAGATTAGGCCTCTAACTTGAGCTGAGCACAGCTTAGGATGGAGCTGGGGACAGAAAGGCTGGGGTGAGGTATGGGCATGGGAGTGACCCCTACACGGACAGGGCAACCAAGATGTGTTAGTGTATAAGAATCAAATCTCAAATTCTTTAGGCTCTGGAAGCCCAGCGGGCAGGGACCCTCCCACCACCTTATAACAGGGTTCATTGGGTAGATAGCAGGCATGGGACCAAAACATCTAGTTCCTCCTAGTTGTGAGAAGCCACAACTGAAAAGAAACCCAAAGGTGTTCAAAGCATCTTAAAATACGCACTATTCCCTCATACCAGTGGTTTTGGGATTGAGAAGTCACCAGATCCACTTGACTGGAAATAGAAATATGGCATTTTTGGTAATTATGCCTTATCTTCCTAGCTCAACAAAATTAGGATCTATCCCACCCTCCATGAAACCTTAGATCCTATTTCTCTTCTCTTAAGAAGGAGCCAGATGCACACAATTTAGTTCTTAATAATTTAACATTCTGTTTTGTGCTGTTGTATGTATTTTTCATTTCATTCTTTTCACCTAACAAGATTGTGCCTAACAAGACCAAGGTCTATATCTTATGTCCCTTCTGCATCTCTCAAAGTGTTGAGAAGAGTCTGGACATATAATTGCTCAATAAATGCCTGTTGGTAAAATTACTTATAAGCCAAGTGGGGAATACTATCAACCTACAAGTGAGGACTAGGGTGATTAAATTGCTGAGCCTAGAGAAAAGAAGTGTGAGAGATGGCTTATGACATCCTTCAAGTCGACAAGAGGAAATGGCACTTGGCATCTAGAGCATTTCCTGCATGAAGTAAGCACTCAAATATTTGAATGAATTTATCAGCTCTGACGATGGGAACAAGCTCTTCCCTATCCACTAGGGAAGGTTTTACAGGAGAATATTGGCTTATACTTCAGTGTAGGAGTCAAAGGTTAAATTGAAGGAAGGACAGTATGAAAGTGAAAGAGGCTCAGCAGTGAATAAGCCCACACCAGAGAGAGAGGGGGATCTCCCCTTTCTGTGGATGAAACAATAAAATGTTCAATGGGTCCATTGCAGAGGTTCAGACATGTTAGCTTATCTGATGGTGGGTTGGGGGATGCAGGGAGGTGGTGTCAAGGATGATTATCAAGTAACTTCTCAAACTTCTGATTCTTTACCTTGGGGCTGCTGAACTATTTCACTCACCATCTACTGTGCATTTCAGGTGTTACCTGACCTGGGAAACAACCAAAGGCAAGTCTTGTGACCTCCAGTCTCAGTGGTTCCCAAAAGAACGCAGTGTGCAGAAGTCTGCCTTCTCTCACTATCCAGCCAGGACTCCCTGCGTGACTGGCCCTGGGTTCTAACCATGCTCTAACCAAACACGTGAGCTCTTGGGCAAAATGCAGGCCCTGCTCCTTGGTGTCTCTTTGCAAAACGTTGCCCCTTTCCAAAGCTAGTTATTTCCTAGAAGTCTATACATTCTGCACCCAGGAAAGAAAAAAGGGCCAGACCTCTGCACTGAAATATGGTGCTCACATGTGGATTAGAAATACCGGACAGGAACTCCTCTTGTATTTTGAAATTCGAAATCACAGACTGTTTAGATCTGGACCCCAAAAGGATTTCCAATCTTATCGAGTGTCAGGACCTGAAGGAGAGACTTGAAGGTTCCTGGGTGGATGGGGAAATCCTCATGTCCCTGAGGGCTCAGGAACCACCTCTGCTGGGGAAGTAGAGTAAAGGAAGGTGGTATAGACAGAGGCCCCTAGTGTATCTGCCTCTCATCCTCCCTTCAGCCAGTGGCTCTACTTTTCCCTCTTTCATGCATGCAACTTCATTTGGGATCAAATGTTCTGCCACTGTAATAAATTTTAGAACTCCAGACTAAGTCCTTACTTTGCAGAAGAATTTGATAAGTGACTTCTTTAAGATCCCATTGCCAGTTAACAACAGGATGGGGTGGGTCCCTTAACCCCTAGTTCCTCTGCAGAAATGTCCACTAGTGATCATCTTAGTCTAGACCAATCTTAGCACCCAGACAGAACCAGGTGCTGGCCTCTGTCCTGAAGGTGGCATCGATGTGCACAGAAATTCAGGGGAAATGGAGGCATGGGCAAGAAGAGATGGGCATGCCTAAAGGACACTGATCTAGACGCTCTCCAAATCCTCCTCCCTACTGTGATCCTGTCCTCCTTCCGTCCCACTGGGAAACTGTTCACTGCCCAGAGCAGGTAGCTGTGTGTGGAGGGATCCAAGACAGGGAGGCAGAGAGGGAGGAAAATGAAATCTGCCCTGGCTCTGGGGACTTCAATCAGGCTGAAGTTAATGAAAAGGATCCTGCCTTTTCCCAGGATGGCTAACTGCCTGCACTGCTCCCAGTGAGAGGGTTGAGCGGGTGTGGGGGAGAAGGGCAGACAGAATTACATTTAAAAGGCAAAGGAAGGAGAAAATTCTTTCATCTCCCTGGTGGAGCTGGGCAGTGTTCCTGGGGCCCTGTCTCAGACCATTCTCATTCCTGACACGTCTTGCTGCTCTCTGGAACAATCTACACTCAAAACATTAGGATGATGACCCTCTTTTCTATTTTTGAGGAGCTGCAGTTTCGCTCTTGGCGCAAGTTCATTTTTTTTTCTGTCTCTCCCAGCCTAAGGGGTGGGTTGGAGAGCAGAGAGGATTGGAGTAGGATGAAGGGAGCTGTGGGGCCCTAAGGAGGTGAGAGGAGAAATACCTTCAGCTTCCCATGCAGAGGCATTCTACTCTCTGGCTCCTCTCCCACCCTTCTCTCTGAATGGGGTTCTCTCTTTGCTTCCCTCACCAAAAGTCACCCCCAGTACAGCTACAGCAGCATCCCCTTGAGAACTCTGCAGGTATAGGGCTGCCCCTCAAATATCTTCCTTCCCACCTGCTAACTTGACAGCT